AAAAAAAAAACCCAACAGAATAATACCCGAGTGTACTATCCCAACAGGATAATAAGCTCACACTCGAGTATCGTGAACAATCGATTCAAGGGAGAGATCCAAAGGCAACCGAAACAGCCTAACCGACTAGCTAAAGCCGAAATCGAGCCTAGAATCAAACCCAAAAAAAAGATATGTCCCCAACTGAAAGAAACCGAACACCCCTCTACCGGCTAACACCACTAGCCGAGACCGTTACAACCCTACCCTTCTAACACCACTAGCCGAGTATAGCCACACCAGCTTCCCCCAACTCAAAGCAAGATTCAGGGAGAGAAGAAGAAATCGGCCCCTCCGCCGCTCCACAGCTAACGCAACAGGCCTGCCTGAACCTTGCCTCGCTCCCAATTCACACAAAATCCCACGACACTGCAGCTCTGGAAGGCAGACGATCGGAATCCACAAAACCAGCCTGGAGAAGGGAAGCCCAACCACCAACACGAACGGAGAAGGAAGGCTGCAAAGGATGTGCAGCATCAGAGAGAGGGGCGAGCCGCCAAGGGCGACCACTTGCTAGAGACTCGATTTCGCCGAGGAAGGCGAACTGAGCTGAAGACGGAAGGCGATGCTGCGAATTGAGGTTAGGGTTGCGGCGATCTACTATTTAAGTAATTTTTTTCAAGCTTGAGTGGTCCTTCATTGAATTATTATTATTATTATTATTATTATTATTATTATTATTATTATTATTATTATTATTATTATTATTATTATTATTATTATTATTATTATTATTATTATAGAAACAATTATTTATGCAAGCCCTTCTTTTTATCTTTACTTGCATGGATCATCCAGTATGTTGATTCTGCCAGGTTTTTTACTTTTATCTCAAAATCGCAGTTGCATGCTTTCGTTTTTTTACGTCTAGAAGCAGCTTTATCTGAATCTCCGAGTTTGCCTCTGTAACATTCGCCTCGTTTGAACTTCAAAACCTTGACCCTTCATTTTTTTGTGTGTTTCGAAATAATCAATTTGAAACCATGCAGAAGTGCCATATTTTTTGCAGACTCAATAGCCTCCGCATCACTATAAAATAATGCAGTTGTATTGAAACCAACACTGTAATCAATATCATCTCCTCCAAAATCTTCCAATGACACCTGCAATATAGTACAATATTTATAATTTTAAAACATGTTAAATTATAATCTATAACATAATATTTTATAAATTCTAACATTATAACATCTTTTCTTTTTCTAATTTATAAAGATATATAAATTCTAATCTATAAGATAATTAATTTTAACATGTAATATAATAATTTCTAACTCCTAACACGATAATATCTAACATCCAATTTATAACATAATCAAGTCTAACATGTAACATAATAATTTCTAACTCCTAACACGATAATATCTACTGTCCAAATTATAAGATAATCAAGTCTAATGTATAACATAATAATTTCTAACTCCTAAAACGATAATATCTAACGTCCAATTTATAAGATAATCAAGTCTAATATATAAAATAATAATTTCTAACTCTAACACGATAATATCTAACTTCCAATTTATAACATAATCAAGTCTAATGTATAACATAATAATTTCTAACTCCTAACACGATAGTATCTAACATCTAATTTATAACATAATTATCTTGAATCTATAACATAATAATTTCTAATAATATTAAAAAACCGGTCAGACTGGCCACGTCCGGCCGTCGCCGCCGGACATAGAGTGGGCCGTCCGGCCGGCCGGTTCGCATGCGGACCGGTACATACAATCAATGATCGCGTACGACCAAGGTCGTGTCCGAGCCAACCGGCCAGACGCCATTTGGGCCGTCCTGTTTCAGCGGCCGGTCGCATACGCGAACGTCGGCCGGACAGCGAAAAAAATACCTCGTCGGAAAACGACATTTCGCCAAAAATCGCCTGGTACAATTTCTTTTGAGATTTTTGAAAAAATAAGAAGGGCAAAATCGTCCAAGGCGGTAACTAGTAATAGAGGGCGGTGAATAGTAATCTATATATATAATTAGGGGCAAGCTTCATTTAATTTTATTCAACTTCAATTAATAATAATATGAGGCCATTTAATAAAAACTAGTACGTAGTCCGTGCGATGCACGAGACAGAAGTATTAAATGAGTCATTTTCACAAAGCTTGTCCTTTAAGTAGCTCGTGCGATTCACGGGAGATATTAAATGAGTAGACTATCGGGCTTGTCCGTTCAGGCCTAAAAAATGATAGAATTTGATCATCTATTTTTCTACCTCTTTTTATCAACTTCATTTTTTTTTCCAGGACATTAAACCTGAGTCTGGTAGCGCTAGCCCGTAAATCAATTAATATATTATCTAGTTAACTTGGTTATAATAATATAAATTTGATTTCATTATATATATATATATATATTTATTCCTTGATATAAGAAAAATAACAATTTAGGTAATCTTGTTCCTCGTATAATACTCATATTATTTTATCATAAAACTTATTTATTATAATGTCATTATTATTATTTATACATGTTACAGATGTAGTCTTCTTCTTCTTTTTGTTTTATGTAATTAAAATTATTAATGTATGTTAATATTATTTATTAATATAATTAATTTAAATTATGTAAATAAATTTAAAGCAAAACATTTTGTACAAACATTTTACAAAATATATACAAATGTTTTTTTAGAATTTATTTTTTTTATAATAAATAAACATCTTTGAAATTCTATGCATTTATTAAAATCTTTGATATAAATTAGAAATCATACTTGGATTCTATGCAATTATTAATTTCGTCCTATGTTATGGGAAACAAATCATCAAAAAATGCAACAAAATGATAAGGAATTTTAAAATTTTAATTTTAAATGAGACATGTTTTTACTTGAATTCTATCAATTATTATTTTGTCCGATTTTATGACAAACAATTCATTCAAGATTGATGTAACAAAATGATAAGAAATTTTAATATTTAAATTTAAATTTAGAATGATACATGTTTTACTTGAAGTTTATTTGTCCGATTTTATTGCAAAACACTTCAATTAAGGATGGAATTAATGCAAACCGATTTTTTAGCTATAAAATAATAATACAATTGAAAAAATGATAAAAATAGAATGCATTAATTATACTTTGACTTTTCTTGTTACTAAATTTAGTAAATAGGATGACTTTTAATATATATAGATAAGTTGCATTTAATACAAATATGTTCACCATTTAATAATAATATGTAACTTTCAATTACACCATTTATTTTGACATGTTACATTTTGGATGGTCCTCATTATTGTAACGCATTTTTATGTCATGAAATACAAAATATTTTCGTTTTTATTTTGATACTATATATTTTTTGAGTATTATATAAATACATATTTCACAACTAATTTAAAATGACTACAAATATTTCTATTTTCTATTGCAGTCATACAATAAAAAAAATATTATTTCGGATATTACAAAAATACATAAAATATTTTAAAAATCAAATCCCGGAGTCACGAGTCGAAGAAATTTAACAACAAAGATTTGATGTGATGAAAATTCTAACGTTAATAAAATTACGATTGTTTTATATAAAGAAGTGTTTAATAATATTTAAATTAATTTTTTAAATATTTTTTTTCTCATTCATTAAATTATGATTTTTTATTTTATTCTATATTTTTAATTATTTTCTCTTTTATTATATTATTTTTCGTGGGTAAAACTAGTGTTGTGTATAAATGGTGGATTAAGTCTAAGACATGCTTACACATATGTTGACATAAATCATAATGAAATTGTGGTGTGTTACGAATTTTCGCAATTGTTAAGCCTTAAGCACCTATCAAAACGACCCAGTTTAGCCTTTTGAACGGACCTCCATCTTTGCTTGCCCCCGCGTATAACCGGAGAACGAATTCCTGCCGGGACCGGAAAAAAAAAATGAGACGGCCGGCATACTCTTCACCGTCGCTCAATTTGAGTGCCATGAATCGGAAGATCGACGTCGACAACCGGATCTCTCTCCGCAATTACTATCGGATCGCCGATAATCTCCTCAAACAGGTTTTTACTCGCACTTATCTTCCTTTCGATTGATTAAACGATTGGAAGCGAGGCTACCTGTACATTGCAGGCGAATAAATTTTGTCTAAAAAATCTAATTCGGTAGATTGATTGTTTGTCCCTAATCCGTGAGTTGATATCGATCGATATCAAGCTGAATTTTGTTATGTATGCGTAGGAGTTGCTTTTTACTGTCCTTATCTGGTAAACTGGCTGATATTCCTCTCTGTGCTTGATTCATTGGTTCAATTTGATAGTATCTTGTTTGATTTCGGGTCCCAGTTGGTCTGGGTTAGTTGATTTCTTAAGTTATCAATTAAATTTTTAGCGCGTCTGGCAGTAAATTAGTGATTGCTATCGATGGTTATTCTCCATATTAAGGTTGAAGGGTTGTTAGATTGAAAAAGAATCTGACATTTGTCGAGTGATAACTAATTCTCAAGTCATTTTTTTGCAGGCAAATATATACAGGGAGGAGAAGAACTTAATAGACTTGTATGCTATGCTGCTAAAATATTCAATGTAAAGCTTAAGATTGATTGTCATCTGATGTCATTTCTTTATTTCCGAGTTTATGATTAGTTGTTAATGCTGTTAGATTATGCTTTGAACTGAAACAGTTTGGTGTCGGAAACCATACCTTCCCATAGAGATTACCAGACTTTATGTCCCAGAGAAAGAAGTGTACACATGAAGGTAACATTAGCGTTCTGGTAATTTACATGATGGTGCCATTCTTAAGATGAGGAACTACTAGATAACTTTTCTTTATGCATGCTACTGCAGAAAGTATGTGGTGCGCTAGATGAGCTAGAGACGCTGAAGCCGAAAGTGAGCCGTCAGGTAGATGAGCTGGAAAAAGTTAACATCACAAATCAACTACAGCAGCATGATGGACCAAACAAAGTTTCCTATCCACCCTCTTTGAGTAACAAATCTACCGTCATCTACAGTAACAAGCAGGTATTCATGAAGATGACAAGTGCTTATTTTTGTTGTTGTTGTTTTATTATTATTATTATTATTATTTTAGAATTATTGATGCTGAGGGCAATTATAGAACCAAGCTAGTTATGTAGTTCGGAGCTTCTGATTTGCCCATTAAGTACTTTAAAACAGTTTTTTCTCCATAAAAGTCAAAATGTATGCGAGACCGAAGGTATGATGTTGGATGATTACTTTTCAGTTCGACAATTCTTTATGCTGTGGGAAATTCTGTTTGGTATTGATAGTTCACTTCATACAAAAACTTATGCAAGTAATTGGAACCTTGTTTAGATCCATTTTGACATTTGTTTATTTGACCGATTGGCTCTAAAGCTTACTGAATGTTGCTCAACTATTGTGTCAAATAAGTTTCTCGTCTTCTTTTGGGAGTGAAGCTAATTCTTGGTCGATTGAATATAGATGATGATAGCTTCTCGTGTCACTCCCACTCTCTTCCATATATAGTTTTGGCCTGCAAAGTAGCACAACTTATAATACTTGTGACCTATTAACTGGCTCGATTTTATATGTTTCTCTTTGATCGGAGTTTTGATTTTAGTTAAAGAAGTATGTGCAATGTTTTAATTTTATGAATATTTGTAATAACTGGAATATAAAATGCCTCTCTCTCTCTCTCTCTCTCTCTCTCTCTCTCTCTCTCTCTCTTATCTCTCTCTCTCTCTCTATCTGTCTGTCTATCTATCTAAAGCATAATGTTTGATCTGTTTCTGCTCAGATGTTTCATCCCATTACGCCTCCCTCATCTTCATTGAAGCAGATGACTGAATATACTAGATTTTCATCACCAAGTCCTGTCGAGTCACAATTTCAGAAGCTGTGAGTGCTATTAACTCTGTAACATTGGTTTTTAGTATATATGTTAAACCTTCTCCTTTACATACCAAAATTAGCTACTGAGGTGACTTCTCCTATATTCCTGGTTCGAACATGCCGTTGCTAGTCGATTTTCATTCTGTTTGCTAGAATGTGACTTCATTTTCTACATGATTGTTAAGATCTTGTCACGAGTAATTGATATCTTTAGTACAAGAATATGTTTATCAATGTAATTTGACTAGGTTGATTTCATTTAGGATCTTCACGTGATCTTGTACCGGCAATACTATTGGCTTATTTTATTATCTCCCCTCAATATTGATTCTGCTAGAGATGTTTGATACCTCTAGCTCTTAGTTTAAGGAAAAAGTTTAGCAATTTTGATGTCTTAAATTTAGTGTAATTAGAAGATGTTAGTGACATAAGAGCGCCAAAATGTTACCTATTGAAGAAAGATTAAACCGAAGCTAAGGTTTGTGGCATGTAAGTCATAAGATTAAACAGTTGTTTAGTGGTAATTTATTATTTTGTAGTCATTCACATTATAGATGTTGGTGAATCAAGTATTTTTTCATTTAAACATTCACACGTGTTATCTGACCTACCTTCCAAATATATACGTGTCGTACTCTATTATATTTTTTTAAATCTTTTCTTTGGTTAATTCATCGTAGCTTCCTTATTGGGCCCACCATTTGCACCTGCTGGTGCTTTAATGTTTCAAGCTTTGTTCCCTGCTTTACTTTTCTTCGTATTACTATCCCCCTGCAAGTACCACCATGATTTCATGTGTATTTCACTGTTCACCTTGAGCAAAGAGCTCCTTAAGGAAAATACAGCTTTGTTTTAGTAAGTTACAGTAACTGATTGATCTTTTTGAATTTGACAGATCTCTTAATCTACCCCTTCCAAAGCAGGAAACATTATCCAGACATTCATTTCTCGGACCAAATGGCCTTCGTGGTCAATGGCTTGGGCCCAGTGCTGAGGTTAAGGTGAGCTTCCTCAAGAGTTTAATTTTCTTGTATACTTTTCCCCTTCAGAAAGATATTTTCTCATTTTTCCGGTTTTGGCTTTTGCGACTTCTGTGTTTGGTTCATTTAATAATTTTTCTGCACCCAGGTTAACTATCCAACGAATATTGTTATGGATTCAAGTGGTTTTTCAAGGTATAGTTTATATTTAGATTTAGTAAGTTCCTCAAATTTATTATATTACTATCCTGCTTGGGATGGTGGTGATCATTTAATTTAGTTTAGTTACACTATGCTTTTTATCATGTATTTATTCACACATAAATCCAGATTCACCCATCACACCTATAGAATATATTACTGTAAAATTTTACTTGCTAGTAACGTTACAATCTCGTGTCACTATTATTATAGTCTGAATCAGGTTGGCCAAACAGAATTTGTGACAACAGCAGATACGAAGGCAGAAAGGTCAACCATGGAGTCTATTCTGTCTTTGGATGATGGTAGATGGCTTGATGAGGAATCTGGTCTTCTCCATGCGAATGGCATTGAGAACAACAATTTTCAGCAGGGTATTATCAGGCAACCTTCTCCACCTCCCGTTCTGGCTCAAGTGCAGCCAGAGGTACTTCCCCTCTCTCCATCTAAAGTTGCCGACCCAAGGCCTGGCCCTCCTAAGCTTTCTGAGGACGGGCTGCCTCGTTCAAATTCTTACCAGGATCTTCATATCGTGAGTGTTTCTCTTGACACTTAATGTAATATGCAGGGGACTTGCAATATTTTCTTGTTTTTAATTTAAATGCACCAAATTGATTTTCTTAATTGCATTTTGGGTTACTTTCTTCGAGGATGTGACTCCCGTATGTTTCTTATTTTGTAGCCTGTGAAGATAATGGAAGATTTTCTAAGATTGGCACGAGAAAATACTGCAAAGAATTTAGAAACTTGTGGTGTTCTTGCTGGTTCACTTGTAAGTTTCTAGTTTCAGTAGCACATTCCAAAGAAAAATATGACATCTGGCTGTGAAGCATCCCATGCTTGCTGATGTATTATGTTTGATCACTTGCAGCGGAATAGAGTATTTCATATTACCACGCTCATTATACCAAAGCAGGAGTCTACTTCAGATTCGGTACCATATGCATCCTAATATCTAAATGCATTTTGCAACCTTTTTCTTTCAAATGCTGCCTTTTGCCTATACTGTGTCTGCCGTGGTGTTTATGCGTTTTGCTTGCCTGAATTAGACATGGCATCTTCACAGTCATTTATATATAAAGTTGTAACGAATAGACATTTTTGGTTTATGCTGAAGTCAATGACTGAGTATCTACAAGTCATGTTATCAAATCAAATCTTGAATGCAACCACATTTCGTCCATTTTGGTGACAGAAAGGATTCTTGCTTATGTCTTACTTAACTGATATCAACACTAAATTACCAGTTTTTCCTTTTCCAGAATAAATACAACCTTTACATGTTTCGTCTAGGGCATAATTTTTATATATCAAGATTGCAATAGTTGGCAGCTATTGCTTCTAATTTCAAGTCTCTCATTTATCCAATGTGTGCTGCTGTTTAGAGTTCTCTTGTTGATGTTTTATTGATGTTTCCTTTTATTGTTAATTAGTGTCAAACGTTGAATGAGGAGGAAATTTTCGATGTTCAAGATAAGCGTTCTCTTTTTCCTCTTGGATGGATTCATGTAAGTGTTAATACTTTTCGGCTGACATGCTTTGTATTTCATTTCAGTTTTTGCTGTTAGATCTTTAGCATAACTAGATTGCCCAACATTTTAGCCACTTATTAGCTTAGGCAACATTTTGTTTTGTTGATATTTGGTTGGGATTAGAAAATAACTCAATAGTTGTTTGTGTAGAATGTAGATAGCATTAATTATCTTGATAATGTTCACATTTTTTTCTTGATTTGCAGACACACCCTACACAAACTTGTTTCATGTCATCCGTTGATCTGCACACTCACTACTCATACCAGGTAAGTTTTTTGTGGTGTTTGTTGTAACTTTCTTTGTCAATATTCCACTTTTGATATCATTCTTTCTTTCCTTTTTTAATGGGGCTGAGGATATAAAAGGATGGAAAATTTGTTACTTTTGCATGTAAAAAAAAATAAAAAAATAGTGCAACTCCAGAGAAATGTTGTGTATGATATAGTACATGTTTGCCAATTTGGATAGTTCATGGTATGGATAAGCTTTATTTGGAAACTATATACGGATAGATCATTACAAAGTTAAATCAGTCAATAAGTTCAATGTGATTTTACTCTACTGAGATGGTGCTGAGAGTTTCTTTGACTTGTTTATATAGGTCATGTTGCCAGAAGCAATAGCAATTGTCATGGCTCCTACTGATACATCAAGGTGAAATGCTCTATTGCAAAATAAAAAGTAGCTTTAATCAGTTTCAAGAATAATCTTATTCGAGAAACTCCTTACTCGAAGGATTGATTTTGACTTTATCTATATTCCAGTCCTCATGGCATATTCCACCTTTCTGATCCCGGGGGCGTTTCTGTCATTCGACACTGTCAACAGCGAGGTTTTCATCCTCACGAAGAGCCTGAGGATGGGACTCCCATTTACGAGCATTGTTCGCATGTTTATATGAATTCTAATCTCAAGTTTGACGTGGTTGATCTTCGGTGAGGTTTGCAAAGTGGTTAAAGATCAGAGAAACGTATGTGTATGTATAGTTCAAACTTGGAAATATTCTGCTGATGACTTTTGCAGATACCTCTTTCTGAGATCTTTGTGAGTAAAAGCTTTGGTATAAATCACCAGGACTATGGTGGATGGACAACAAAATAATTGCTTTTATCCAATTTTTATGTAAGGTGATTTTATTCCAACATGTTGAGAGAGATTTTTGAAATGTATATGGTTGTTTTGATGTTTTATGGCATGATTGGTATGATTGAATGATATGAATATGGCATGATCATTCCTTTATTCATTCTTGATCCCATGATTGGTAGATTTTGTAAAACGGAATGACCATTTTGATTGGAACTAGTACGTACCCCGTGCGATGCACGGAACATAGATATTAATTGAGTTATTTTAACAGCTTTATCCGTTTAAATCTTAAAAATAATAGTGTTATTATCTATTTTTTACCTCTTTTAATCAACGTTAAGTCTAAAAAACAATAATGTTATAAGCTTTTTTTCATATCTTTTAACCAGCATTGTTTTTTAGCCAGAACATTAAATATGAGTATGTTAGGGCTAACTTGTAAAATAATTAATATATTATCTCAGTAAAATATTTATACTAATAAAACTTTAATTTCAGTATATAAATTTATCCCTTGATATAAGAAAAAGTAATAGTTTTATTTATTCTTGTTCATCATATAATATTTAATTATTATTATTATTTTATTATATAATAAAAAAGAATAGTGCTAAATAGTTTTTTTTTTTTAACACAAAGATAATATTAAAAAAATATAAATATCCATACAAATATACGAACCAAGTTTTTTAATAGTTTTTTATTAGTTTTATAAAAATATATTATAATTTGTTAGTGTATTATTCAAAATCGTAATATTGATTTGTAGTTTTTAGAAACAGAATTTTGATTGTCTTTGCTCACCCCATTTTATGGGATTTTTTATGTCAAGATAAGAAGAATTAGAAACAATATATAAAATAGAAAACTTGATTAAAATTATAAATGCATTAATTACTACTTGATAAAATTAGAAGTTCATTAATTAAGGTTGACTTTTCTACCTACTATATTTAGTAAATAGGTTTCCCTTTAATATAAGTACTAGTACAGAGCCCGTGCGATGCACGGGGTACACTATTTTAAGGTCATTTATCCATTCTTATAATTATATAAATGAATAAAACAAATGTACGGGATATATATAATATGTGACATGTAATAGGCCAAAATGTGAACACAGGTGATGCACGGGGTGCACAATTTTAAGGTTATTTATTAGTACAGAGCCCGTGCAATGCACCGGGTGCACAATTTTCTAATATGTGTAATAAAAATACATATCGCATTCACGGGACAAAAACACTAAATGAGTCATTTCCACAGAGCTTGCCCGTTAAGTAGCTCCTGAACACGGGTGCACAATTTTAGTATGTACCATAAAATCATAACAGATTTCCATACAATTAGATAATAAATTAGATAATAAATAAAACATTTTTATTTTAGTAAAGATTTTACGTACTTTGTTTTTTTTTTACTTATCGGATGTTATGAGATTTTTTTTGTTAAACTAATTTTATGGAATATAATACAAATGCAATTAGAGGATTGAACAAAATCAAAACAGATTTTCATACAATTAGATAATTAAAAAAAAATAGATAAGAAAAAGAAGGAATTAGAGAAGGAATTTTGAATTTGACTTTTTTTTTGGATAGATAGACTTTACGTACAAATTTTGACTTCACTGATTTTATGAGATTTATTTTGACAAAATCAATGTTAATAATAGTAAAGATTTTACGTCTTTTTTTTTACTTGTCAGATGTTATGAGATTTTTTTTCTTAAACTGATTTTATGGGATATAAGACAAATAAATAAAATAATTAAATAAAATTTTGGATAGAAATAGCAATGCATTAATTACGTTGACTTTTCAATCTACTAAATTTGGTAAATATGATACCTTATATAATAAGTATAAATACAAATAAATAACATGTCAAAATTTTAAAGAATAATTAATGTATATTTTAATTTATTATCTAGCCATCAGTAATATCATTTAATTATGTGATCATTATCGAATTTTTTACCGGAAAAAAAAAAAAAACAAAAAAGTAGTGGACAAAAAAAAAGGGAAAAGTGGGTGGAAATAAATGAAAAGCACGTATTCCGTGAATACGTTTTCTGCACATTTTAATTGTAAAACGTATTCACGGAATACGTTTTCCTTTATAAAAAAATGTAAAAAACGTATTTAGTGAATACGTTTTTTGATTAAAATATATAGAAAACGTATTCACGGAATACGTGTTTTTTATGTTGGTCGACTATCCTTTTTTTTGTTGTTTTTTGTCCAGTTATTATTTTTTTTATCAATAAATATATAAATTGCTCGATCATTATCTTAATTGATAAATAAAATATTAATTTTAAAAAAATATTTGTTTTATATGCTCAAATAAAAATTAAAAAATACTATCGACAAATATGAATTATAATATATATCAGTAAAATCATTGCAGAAGTTAATAAAATTATTTAAGGAAAGAATCTTTTTGATCATATTTGAATAGGAAATGTATATATGCAAGCAATTAATACATATAGTAAAAAAATTTCTAAACAAAGTATGCATTAAATGTGAGTTGACTTTTCTTGCTACTATTTTTAGTAAATGGTATGGCTTTTAATATAAGTATAGATAGATTGCAATATCTATCTCCATGAGTGATAGGATCCCCTTTTCGTCCCCGTGCCGCCCTCATGGATTAATCACTCCATAGCTAATGTAAGGTTTGTTTTGTAAGGTTTTTTCATGGATACATTAATGGTGAGAGCATTAAATTTTGCCGTGGAGATCCAATCATGGGATTTCCATGAAATATATATGTACAGAAAGTTCTGTTAATAAGGAATCCAACGGTATCTCTGATTGTTGATCAGTTATACCGACAGACGGAAAAACACCAATTATATTCTGCAAGTCTCTGTTCTCGTTATATATAGGGATTTGAATTAGTAAGCATAACTTTGGACACGAAAAAGATTAAAATTACACAATTTCCCCATAAGCAAAAGCTTACATATATAGATTAGAAGAATACGTAAAGACAACATTTGCATTAGCTATTGCTGAGAGCCGAGATAATGATTGACAGACCTTACTACAGAACGAGCCAAATTATCTGCTGCTTCTTGGGTAGACGCTTCAGCATACACTCTAACCACATCCTCTGTTCCCGAGGGTCGTACAAAACACCTTCCTCTTGGGTATTTAGCTGACAAAAAAGGGTCAAAATTACAGGTTTCATGTGGATAAAGCTAGGCAAATGCCATGCCTATATATATATATATATGTGTGTATGCGTGTGTGTGTGTGTGTCTCTCTGTGTGTGTGTGTGCGTGTGTGTGTGTGTGTGCGCGCGTGTGTGTGTTTCTTAAGAAATTAATTTAATACAACATATCAGTGGTTTAATCTAAACAAAAGTTTGTTGTATTAATTTTTACAATTTTGGGGGAAAACGCATCTTACCATCTTTCCGACTGTACCCTGTATTTCACAACTGATCTATTTTCTTGAATCAGTTTATTGTCTTTTGTGGAAAAAAGATAACTCTCAAATGTACAACCAAGCAGAATGAACTTTTACCTGTTTCAGCATCAATGGCTTCTTGTAAACCAACTGGGCTCACAACTACAGTTTCTGCTTTTTCTGTAATGACAGCTGTCCTGTCGACAACCTTCACCTAATGAAACAAAGAAATATATGTAAGGGTTCAATTTTCATGGAAGGAGAACTCTTTACCTTCTTAACAGAAATCTCAAAGTCACACAACTTCTACACATAATGTTGCATTCACAATGAAAACTAAAGAATTTATAAAATTTCCAAACACAAGTTAGAATTATTTTAACTTTATGGTTCAACTGATAAAAATAGAAAATTTCGATTATTATAAGGGAAAACAATCAGTATCTAGGAATTAACCAACCTTGAGCTGCCTGCTCGGTAAATCTTGATAGAGGTCATTCCATTTATGGATAGACCAGCCTGTATGCTGCAAGATAGCTTCCACTAATAGCAACCCACTTAATGCATCCCCAACAGCCTGATTAATCAATTTACTCACGGCCAATAACCTCAAAGCCGCCTTGTGTTCATCCGAACCTAGAGATAGTCAGCATCAAAAGCAAAGTATACAGTAAAAGGAAGTAAAAATAATAATCAATACCCAAATAATAAAAATGTAATAAAAAATAGAAAATTTAATTAACCTTCTGATGATATTGAAAGTTCATTGTTTCTAGTCTCCAACCAGGACAGAAAATTATCTGAAAACAAAATAGTCCCATGCCCATTTGCCTCGAAATATATGCCGATATCAAACTCGGCAGCTTTTTCATGAAGGTATTTGACTCCTGTTGGAGTCAACACAACCTCGAGGCCTAACTGTTTCAAGTAATCAGTGGAGGCCCCGTTAGCATAAGCTGTCTGTACTACAGCAAGAGAGACTTGGTAAGAATTATTAGCATTTTTTCGGTTTTCAGGCCCATTAAGAACGCCTAATTGGTCCTTGAGAAATAAAGCAAACAAGGACAGTATCTTGTCACCATCAACAAGGTCAATCTTGTTACTATTTGGTAAAACAGAGAAGTATACAAGCCGGTCAGCATCTCCGTCTAAACTGGCACATCTGAAATATTAGAATCATATGGCAAGTTAGAAATTCCTTTAGAAAACCATTACTTGATCATATTTGCATGCTGGGGGAATGTCATTTTTTGAAAGCAGCAAATGATAAAATACTAGAGACTGTGGCACCTCTGGGCAGTAATTTTACAAAAAAAAAGAGAAGGATAATAGGAAAATCACCCCTAGAATTTGGGTATATGCTAAAAAAAAAAAAAAGGAAAAACAAAAAATCAAGAAGGGATCCCCAATGGAGTTTCCAAATTAGAGAAAAAGTCTTGAAGCTTGTTTCCATCAAGCATTTCTTCTCTGTGTATTATAGTTATCCCCTTATAATAAAGGCATAGTCGAATATCAACAACCAGCTCACTGCATATGCATTGTAGTTATTGATAAACAGTAATAATGTCTTGAAAAGAAAATACAAATATAAGATTAACCATGCAAAAACACAAAACATTTGGAAAAAAGTAAGGTGACCTCATGCCAGCATCAGCAGGACCAAAACCGCGTGGTACAACCTTCTCTTTCTGCACATAATCAGCACCTGCAACTTCATTAAGTACACCATCACCAAAATTACGAACATCAATTGTTAAATTACTCAGCTTTGACTTCAACTGTAAAAGCTTTTGTCCACCAACACCATCAGCCCCATCCACGATCAATTGGTCATTCACCTTGTTGCTAATATTTCCTTGCGGAATATAATCTAGCAAGCACCTGAAAATTCATAATAAGAATCTCAAAATGGGCCCTCTCACAGTTTGAATCTTGGAAAAAAATAACCGATACTTTAAATTGTGAAACCTCCGTGTGATTAGTAGGGTGTCTCTGGAACTCACTGAAAAGAAGTTAAAAGCTGGTCAAAGTACTTATCCTCAGATGCTTCTAAGCCCTTATTTTTCACATGAACCATCCAATGCAGTTGTGGGGTTGTCACAACTCCAATATCTGTGACAGAAACTCCTATAATTGACTTTATACCCTGACAAATTAGATTCAGAACAATCGCATCAATTCCTTCATGCATAAGATTCCAAGTTCTGAAAAGATCCAGATTAAGAAAATGAAACAAATATACATAAAATTAACAATTTATGTCACTAAAAAAAGTCCACATTAAGGGATAAAGCGGTTCCATATTAGGTTAGAACCAGAAACTAGTCCCCAATTGATCCAGGATATCTTCAAGAGTTGCATGATAAGAAGCATAGAAACAAGGGAAATAAACCCATCAGAAGTTAAGCAAAACTAATACTCGTCTAGCAGCCTCAACAAGAGACATCCCACTTGGTCTCGTGTCCCTTCCCAAAAATACTTCCGCTGCAGGGGCTCGTTCAAGAGTAATGTTCTCCTTCTTCACAAAATCATCCAGCAACTGTTCCAGTAAGAATAAAAACAATATTGACCTACCAAATACACAAGATCGAGACAAGGAGGAATATTGTTTTGGCTACAAACTGAATAACTGTCACAAAATAGCTAAATGACACCTCGCCAACCAACCTCTACCCCATAATTCATGACATAAACAATTCTTCAAAACAGACTCCACAAAGGAGTGCCAGATATACAAAATGTTGCCATTAAAGATGCATGTACACACCTGAATGAGAGCAAGTGGGTCCGAGGCATTAGCAACAGCATCGGCAAATGGCTCCCATTGCTGAGTCAGCATCCCGCCGGACGGGTCCGCCACTTTGATCCCGTTATCCGTTACGGTGTTGTGTGAGGCCGTGATCATGAGGCCGATCGTGGACCCTGTCTGGATGGACCTGAGTGCTGCCAGTATTCCCACACGGAACACGGTCGACTCAAGCAACGATGCCTCAGCTCGGAACCCTGACGTACCATACGAAAATTTCACCCCTGCCAGGAAAAAAATACAAATATAAGAAAAAGGTAAAAATATATATTATTGAGAAATAATTTTTTAAAAAAAAAAAAAAAATTGTAAATTTGGGGTTTGTTACACCTTGGGGTGGGGGGAATACAGAGGATGACTCCAAGAGGATTGATCGCTGTTGTGGGTTCATTCTCTGTTAAACTATTTATTAATCAGATGTATGTAGAGCAAAACACACAATCCCACATCACTTCCAACAAATTTATTTTAACTTTCGTTCGATATTTCCCTTCCAGTTTGTGAAAAAAAAAAAATTGTGAAGCTCACATTCAAAATTCGAAGCAGCAGCTAAACTTGAAATGAATTGAAATCAGACGTAATTAAATTTCCATTGATAACCAAATCAACATGTAAACCGCCGCGAAAAAAATTACAGATTCCATCATGGATCAATTATAAAAGAATCGAACATGCCGATGGGTGGAAGAAGCCGGGCCGCCTGTCTGCAGTGAATTAATCCTCAAACAAATTTCCAGATTGAACCTTTGTTTGTTCAAGTGAAGTGATCGACCAAGAACACGAGAATAAAAGAGTGATGAGTGCGTGTTCTTTTCTTTATGTTAATATTTTCTTTGGACAAAATTTAACTTTCAATTTGTGTAATTAATTAAACTTTTTAAAGACTTCCTAAGATTTTTTTTATTTTTTATTTTTTAATTTTAAAAAGAGTCATTTTTTTTTTTTTTTTCAACAACAAACAAGCCATAAAATTAAACTCAAAAAACGCGTTCTTACATCGAATACCCAACAGGACAGTAGCTGGACATCAACCCACACAAATGGACCAACCACAAGCTATAAGAACCCACATTAGGGCCCCTTACAAGCCTTCAAGGCTAAATCAAAAGCAGAAATGCAAGCAAATTTATCATAACAGAAGAAACAATCTATGGAAAAACCAGCAAAAGAATAGATATCAGCAGCAACAGCCATCACATGCCATGGAGCTTCAGCCCTCTGGTTCAACATATGAGCAATCTGTGAGGAGTCTATTCTGCAGCATAAGGATTGTGAAGGAGAATAACCAGCTTCTTGGAGCCTTTTCAGTCCCCATCTTACACCTCTAAGCGTAGCTTCTTCAGAATCCTCAGCCCTTTCACAGACTTCCATCCATCTACATTGCTCTTGTCCCTCAACTTCAACCAGACCTCCAAAGCCCACAACACCATCTGGAAAAAGGCAAGCACTGACAGTTAGGATTAACTGTCCTACTCCTCTTTCAGCTACCACTCTAACATTCAGGAATTCAGATGCACCTCCATGCTCATAAAGACCAAATCCCTCATTGATAATTTCAAATTCCCTCCATTCCTTCCAAGCCCCATCCACAACCTCCTTATCAGTTAGTCTCTTTCCTTCAAATACCCAGATATTTCTAGTCCTCCACAACCACCATAGAAGGTAGGTTGAGAGATTCACTCTATCCTGAAAGCATTTTTCTTTCTTTCCATTACAAATGCTAGCCCACCAGTCTTGAAATTTGATCTTTTGGTTATCAAGAATATCCCAGTGAATACCACTCAGCTTCCAGCAATACACAGCCCTTTGACAGGTAAAAAGAATATGTTCTAGATTTTCCACCTCCTCACCACACATCATACAGATACTGTCAACTGGAATTTTCTTCTGCAACAGTTGGCAATTTGTGCTTAAGAAGCCATACCAGCATCTCCATATGAAGTTCTTGATCTTGCTTTTCACTGGCAGCTTCCATGTCTTCCTCCATATATGTTGCATAGGTTTATGACCTGCACTGGAACTGGCTGTTTTTTGGGATTGCATATGTTGCTCAAGCAGTAGCTTGTAAACTTCCTTGACAGTGAATACTCCCTTAGGATTCCAGTGCCATATTAGTTTATCAGAAGCCCTTGCATGGCTAATAGGAATTTTTAAGATCACATCAGCCTGCACATGAGAGAATGTTTGTTTAACCTTGTCTTCATCCCATTCTACATTGTTACTTTTGAACAGCTCACAGACTTTTTTGATTCTCAGCTTATCATCAGGGAACTGTAAGCTAGGACAAAAGCTAACATCACAAGGGAGCCAAGGGGAATCCCAGACATCAATAAGCTTCCCATTCCCAACCTGATACCTAACTCCTAACTTTAGAGAATTTCTGGCTTGAAGCCAGCTTTTCCAAAGCCAGGAGTCACTACTTCTAGCAGACACCTCAAAGATTTTCTTATTCCAAAAATATTTACCCTTAATCACTCTACTCACCAAAAGATTAGGATGGGTAATGATTCTCCACAACTGCTTAGTCAAAAGAGTCTCATTAAAAATCCTAAAATTTTTAAACCCCAGACCTCCCCAGTCCTTGGGCTTGGACAAAGCCTCCCACCCACACCAATGAATCTTACTCCTACCACTCTCAGAATGACCAGCCCCCCACCAAAATCTAGCAATCTCCCTACAAATGTTATGACACACAGACACAGGGATTCTAAAGCAGGACATAACATAGGTAGACATGGCTTCCAAAATAGATTTAATAAGAGTTTCCCTCCCAGCCTCACTCAAGAAACAATTTTTCCAATTGTTCACTCTACTCAACACATACTCAGTGACAAATTTGAAAGTTTTCTTCTTGGATCTTCCAATACCTAGGGGAAGACCTAGATATTTGGAAGTTTTCACTCTAGAAATCCCATTCAGCACAGAACAAATATCAAGCTCCAAGTTTTCAGGGGCATTTTTGGAAAAGAAAACAGAAGATTTATCCATGTTAACCAACTGACCAGAAGCATCCCCATAATGCTTAAGAATGTGAAGAAGAGTAGTAGCATGATGCATATCAGCTTTGCAAAAAACAATGGAATCATCAGCAAAGAATAAATGAGACACAACAGGAGCAAATTTAGCAATTTTGACACCACAGAACAATTTCATTTGACAGGCTTGCTTAATCAGAGAAGAAAAGGCCTCAGAAATAATAACAAAGAGGTAAGGAGACAAGGGGTCACCTTGTCTCAAACCTCTTGTAGGAACAACATAGCCCAGGACAGAACCTTGAACATTGAAAGCAAAGGAAGAAGAACATACACAGGCAAGAATCCAAGATACAAACTCAGAGCAGAAACCCATTTTAGACAGAACTTTAGCAAGAAAATTCCACTCAACACGGTCATAAGCCTTAGCCATATCAAGTTTAATAGCCATAAATTTATCTTTGCCAGTTCTTTTGCTATTCAGAAAATGTATGCACTCATTGGCTATGACTACATTGTCAATAATCTGTCTACCTGGAATGAAAGCAGACTGAGCTTTATCAATACAACAATGCAACACAGATTTAAGTCTGTTAGCAAGGATCTTGGCAATAATTCTGTAAATAACAGTGCATAAACTGATAGGCCTGTAATCAGCAACAAATTGAGGGTTTTTCTTTTTAGGGATTAAAGTTAACACTGTGTGGTTCAGGTTTTTAGGCATTCTACCATTTTGAAAAAAAAAAAATTTACAGCAACACACAATTCAGATTTAATGGAGGGCCAAGCAGTTTGGAAAAAAGCAGGGGACATCCCATCATATCCAGGGGCTTTGTGTTGGTCCATGTCCCATAAGGCGAATTTAATCTCATGCTCAGTAACCTCCCTAACCAAAGCTCTATTCATCTCCATAGTAATAGACAAAGGAATACCAGATAAATCACAATTATCCACAAGGGGGTTAGAAGATTTGAACAGAGAATCAAAATACCTATCCAACTCAGCAACAATGTCAATATTATCAGAACATCTACTCCCATCAACTTTCACTAGGTTAATCAGACTGTTCACATTTCTTCTCTGTCTCACACTAGCTTGAAAAAATCTAGTATTCATGTCCTCATCTTTTAACCAATTCACCCTAGCTTTCTGCTGCCAAAAATCCCCTTCTAACTTATAAGCCATATGCAGTTTCTCCTTAAAGAAATCCCACTCCTCCAAATTCCTATGCCCTCCCATGACTTCAATCCTATCTAGCTACTCCTTGCATCTATTAATGATCTTTCTAGTATTCAGATCTTTACTATCCTTCCAAAGCAGGAGAGCCTTTTTAACATTCTTAATCCTACCCCTCAAGCTAAACAAAACAGGCCCCTCCACTGGAATAGATCAGGCCTTCTTCACAACCTCAGCATAACCATCCATTTTGCCCCATCTGGAATCAAAGAAGAATCTTTTCCTATGGGAATCACAAATATAAGAAGCCTCCAAAACAAGCATATTGTGGTCAGAGGATGCCATAGAAATATTCACAACTCTAGAAGTAGGGTTGTCAAGTAACCACTTTGGTGACACAAGGAATCTATCCAGTCTGACTTCAATGAAATCATGACCTTTCCTCATGTTGGACCAAGTGAACTTGGACCCAGACACAACCGGTTCAACCCCCCCAGAAGTTGAATAAACTCTCTAAACCCTCTGAAGCTATCCTCCTCCCTAATGATGCCCCCATTCTTCTCATGATTATATAAGATATCATTAAGATCCCCACCCAAAAACCAAGAATCTCCCCACCTCAGGCTATGTCTAATAAGGGAACTCCACTGATGCTGCCTAGTAGCATAGTTAGGATCAGCATAAATAAAAATGCCCCATTGACTCCCCACAGTCCCTTCCAAAGCAAAATGAACCTCAAACCCAAAATCATAACTATTAAACTCCAAAATATCCACCTTCTGGGACCAGTAGAGGAATAAACCCCCACTAGTACCACAAGGCTTAGAATAATACCACCTATCAGCTAACTTAAGCTTCCTACAAATAGAGATAACAAATTTTTCTTTTTTTTTTAACTTCTGAAAGAAAGGCAAAATCTGGGGAGTGAACCCTTAGGGACTCTTTAAACTGGGATATTGTAGAGGGTCCTCCCAAACCTCTATAATTCCACACACATAATTTCATTGGAAACCTCGGGACCAGTTAGGACTGGTTTCCTCCACCACAGAATCATTGTTTTGAGAAATCAATTTTAGTTTTTTCCCAGTTTTATTAGAATCTATTTCAATCTGACAAACATTAACTTCTCTGATTTCCAAATTCCTTTTAGCCTTTCCACTGAAAACAGACAAAAGTTCATTTTTATCCAAAGCAGAATCAACTGACATTTTTTCATTCACAGGTTCTTTCCCCAGCCTTGTTTTTCTTTTAAAAGTTTTTTTTGTTTTCTCTGACTGACTCTAGCTCCTATAGACCCATGCTGGATATCAACCTCCACCAACTTAGAAGGAACGAGTTTAGACTCTTCAGGTATAGTTTCCAGAGATTGGAGACTATTTGAGTGTTTCCCCCCAGGAGATCTTAAACTGCTCTCATCTATAGAACTCCCCACTTTATCCAAACCAACCCCAGTTGGTTTTACAAAATTAACAAGAGCCAATGGGCTCCCTTGACTCCTACCACCTACACCATTACCCTCCTGATCATTCACTTCCTCTCTATCAGATCTTCTATCAGAAGATTTACTCTCAGTCTGAGGACCACTACTAGACCAGAAACCACTGATATTAAGAGGGCTAACCCTCAGCCACTCACCATACTGACCTAAGTTAAGAGAATATTTCAAGACATCCTCTTTTTTGGTCATACAGTTTTTATCACTGTGACCCAGATGACCACAATAAAAATAAAAACTTTGGAGACTCTCATACCTAAAATCCGCCCATTTGTTTTCATTGCCCAGCTTGATTTTACTACCTCCGAGAATTGGTCCTTTCAATGGAATTTTCACCAGCACTTTGAGGAGATTGCCTTGATGACTGAAAGGTCCTGGTAGTTGAACATCCAAAGGCAGCCCAATGAGCCTCCCAATTTTGAGCCCGGTGCTAGCACTAATCCAATGCAAGGGCATATTGTGGATTTGCACCCATATTTTGATGTACTCATCCGCTTCCTTAAATACAGTATCACCAGGCACCCATTGTTTGAGCAGAATGTACTGTCCATCGAAACTCCAGGTTTTGCTGGTGAGAATTTTGTCTCTGTCTTCCTCAATTTGAAAAAGAAATTGGAAGATATTATCTCCCAGACTCTTAATAGTAAAAGGATGTTTCGTCGTCCAGATTGACCCTAGCGTGGTTTTGAGGCCATAAAAGTTTGCCTTCTTATCCCCATACACCTTTCCCAACAGGCTAAGCTTACATTCGCTAACCGTCGGCGCCACATCTGCATCAGCTATCTCCAGACCTTCCTCTTCTTTTTCTGAAAGCCCAAATTTGAGGAATTTCTCTTCCAAGTCCTGCGCCATCCCTCCCTAAATCAACTAGACCTCCCCAACCTGCCGAAAACTAGCCCCACCAAAAAGCCCCAAAATCCAAACCCTAACCCTAACCCAAACTGCCTCAGGGACAAAGAACACCACAGAACACCCAGATAATTAGGAAAGATGCAAGATAGACAAGGAATATGAAAAAGAAAAATGGATCAACTGGAAAAAAAGGGCAAACAAACAAGCACTATACATATTAGTAAAGATCTGGCCGATAAACTTATAAAAATTAAACATGAAAGACAACAAACTCACACCATAATGAGCGAAAAACAAACAGCCAAACACACAGGAAAGACACAAACGAAGATCTAGCGGCAGACGCGATACCAGGAAAAAGAACGAGGAAATCCCTAGCAGAATCCAACTAGTGGAACAAGAGTCATCACTTTAATGAATTTGTGATACTTGAATGACTAGTAGATGAGATTTACATAAATTTTTTGTCAAAGATTTTTAAAACTTTTTCGTTATGTTCTTTTTTAAATTTATTGAGGCTTTCGTGTACTTATAGTCAGTGGCGAAACCAAAATCCCATTTTGGAGAGGGCCCAATTTACCTTTAAAAAAAAATTTCACGACAAAACCAAACACAAACACAAAAATAAATGTAAACTATTTAAATTATCGTTCAAATAACATTATACAAAATAAAAATACAATCTAGCCCCTCCGGCCATCCCGCGGCACACCACCCCCACTCGGCATCAGAAGGGCGCTCAAAGGGCGCCCTTCCAGTTCCAGCAAAACCCCCCACCCCTAGTTCGAAATTTTTTTTTTTGGAAGGGCCGGCGCCTTTCCCACGTTATATGTGGTTTCGCCCCTGCTTATACTATAACTATTACTTTCACATAAACTAGACTATATATCGTGCGATGTATGCGGCAACAGTAATCGAGTCGATAAACTTGATAAGTGAATGTCATTTTTTTAAAAAATAATCATAATTTTAAAAATTCAAATTAGTTAATTAATTATGTTATTGGCATATCTCTTCATTCTTTCTCTCATCTCTCTCTTTATGCCCTAATCCCATTCTGCTCCGATTCGCCTTCCCCAGCAGGACCATCGGGCTCATTGACGGCGGTCAGTTCGTGGCTCCATGACACGGCCCAAATTTTGTGACGGGGCTTGTCTTCTCGCACCGGAGGTTTGGATGACTGATTCCGAGAGGATCTCGCCGCTTTTCCTGCTTGCCTTCTCGGAACGGAGGTCGTTGGATTCCCTGGTGGCGAGTAGCGATAGGCGTCGGTGTTTCTGCAGGGGTGAGTTGTGACTTCGAATGCCTAGTGGCGGTGGTCGAAGCGGAGAATGGTGGGTGTTTGGTTCTATTAGGAACGTCGTCGATATGCATCTTCGAATCTAATGAATTAAATCCTAACGTAGCGTAATCTATGGTTAGGATTAGAACTTAGAGTCTTAAAATTTTATTGACTCTGAGACGTTTCTGATTTTCGTTGATGGAGATCGTCTAAACGCTCACCATCATCGAACCTCGACCATGTCTCCCGTCTCACGTCTCCAGTCGCTCACGTCGGACCGTCCCGGACATCTAGTGGTTTCGTCAAACCGCTCGAAACTGGTCGTGGACTCCCTGAGACCACTTGACCGCTGTTGAACTGGTCTGGGCTTAAACCAGGTGCTGGGGTCGCGGGTGAACCGGACTGGACTGCTGATGGCCGGAAAAAACCAGGTCTGGTACTGAGAGCACGCGGGTTGTACGCTGGGATGTTGGGGATGCTAGTGTAATCAATTAGTTTAACATCAACTAATTCCAAAATCACACTACATTTTTTCACAACAGAGAGTTCAATTCCCCTAAACCATGAACCATCATTTATATTTTACAAGTAAAATTCTTTAAGCAGTTCATTTTTTATTTTTTTTTACAAAATCATTCGTCCATTTATACTAGTATAGATATAGATTATCAGTTCAATGTCATTATTAATTGGGACTTGTAGACATTACGATTGGAATAACTGATTTTTGTAATTAAGACACAAACAAAGTTGAATCATGCAATGACTTGTCTGGATTAGACAATTTGCAATTCTTTATTCGGTTGACTTTGTGAAATGCGGGATTGTCCCTAGTTTTTCTTTCAATAACAAAGATGCTGTGTACAAAATACAATAGAAGAAAATTGGAATTTTTACTTAAATTACTACAAATATTTATACATATACAAATGAGCAGTCTTCTTACTCTGTTGCATGACTCTGACATAGTCATCGATGTACGATTTTGCTATGAATCCAACAGTTAGCTCCATAGTGGAACCAACTTTTTATATACAGCAAGTAAACCATACCATATTAATAAAATTGTATTTAGTATTATTTAATTAATTAAAAAATATGATAATTTTACTTGTTGTGTATAGAAGGTTGACTCCACTATGAAGCCAATTGTTGGCTTTATAGCAAAACCGCATCAATGTATTATTAGTTGGATAGATCTAAATGTTTAATCAATACCATACACATATTATTAAATCCATCTCAACCACATCACAATAAATGAAACATTTGTGATCACCACCAATATGAAAAGCCAATAATGTAGCTTCTTAGCTCAACCAAAAAAAAAAAAAAAAACAAAACAAAACAAAAAAAAAAAGCAAAAAAATCCAAGAAAATGAAAAACCCTCTTCTCTTAACTAATGATGACCAAACTGAAGGGACCAAATCACCCTTCTGCTGGTGGAGAACCCTTGAGGAATTTGACCAAAATGGTCATTTCAAGATTGATGAACTTCCTGAGCCTCTATCCAAGTTGAGCCCAAGGCTGAGAGTCCTCAGAGAGATGGAGAGGTTGAGTTTTATAGCAGGGGAAGAAGGGCTTGATGACTTGAGGCACAAGCTACTGAGTTACAGGGCTGCCGACTTTTGGCTGCCGGTGGGTGGGGTCAAGAAAGAGGATATGGACGTGCCGCCGGTGATTACGCTCCTGCTGACCGGCTTGACCGGTGCCGGCAAAAGCGCCTGCGTAAATTTGATGTATAGCGTTCTCGGGAGATCGGGCCTCATCCCTTTTGCTCAAACATCAGGTAAGAAAAAAAAAAAAGGCAAAAATGAATATGCTTTTCACACCATAGCAATATTGGTCACTAAGGTTTCAACTTATTGCAGTATGGTCCTATGATTTAATATTTTGATGCTAGTTTCAGTTATTTGAGGACTGAAATTGCAACAAAATTCTCAATTATAGGACTTAAATTGCTAGTTAAAAAAAATCTTAAATCTAAAATTTGTTTCAATTTTGGTCCAAAAAAAGACTGAAATTATTGCAGCAAAATATGAGGTCACATACCAAAAGACAAAATTTACCCCCAAAAAAAAAAAAAAAAAATCTGAAAATACTCATACTTATTTACACACACAAACATGTGTTTGTAGTTCATTAATTTAGGGTGAGGAAAGAGAATTTATTTGCTAGGTCGATTACTTGATTTTAGTCTCAAGTTTAGTTGTAATTGATCTTATAACACAATGAATTAATATGACAAAATTAGGTGGATTTTCAAACTACACCACAATGTATCTGGAGGAACACAACGTGGTGAGATCAGATAGAAGCGGGTTCTGCGTGTACGACACGAGGGGTCTCGACGCAGCTCGAATGGATGAAGGATTGGTCGAGGTCTCGAAATGGATGTCCCGTGGGGTCCACCACAACCAGCCGTGCCACAGGCCGGGAGATGATGAATCTAAAGCGTTAGGGTCAATAATGCAGTTGACTGCTTCCAGTTTTGTTAAGAGGAAAGTGAACTGTGTAATGGTAGTGGCTGATCTATCGCAGATTCATAAGGCCTTTGAATCGGGTGATATGAATTCGGTCGAGGCTGTGAGGGACCTCTTTCACTTGTCGGCAATTAAGAACTCGAGTACGTAACTTTTTGAAAAGAAAACTAGTACTTTCACAATGAAAATGTCATTTATGAGTTCTTTTTTATCCTTCCAACAGATGAGAATCCAATTTTTATTTTAACACATGGAGACTTGTTGAGTGCTGAGGATAGGATCAATGGGAGGCTAAAGGTATGCGAGTATCTGGGGATACCCGAGACGAGTGGTGCATATGATATACCGTGTCTGACGGAACAGGGGATTCTAGCCGAAGAATCTGATCCAACCACAGCATTTGCACTAACAGAAGCAGTTTACAGAGCCTTATTACAAGCTGACAGAGCCCATTTGCCCAAGAAGAAGTTCAAGGACTGGATAATCTTGTTCTTCAAATGGATCATGTGGTGCATAGCTTCGTTTTTCGCCATTCTTGCGAATTTCTTCGCACGGTTCGGGCATCATCGTGACCATAAACTGAAAATGTGAGGTAGTTCCATTCTTGAGTGTGTGTTGGGAAAACGCCTGTGATGTGAGAATTGTTGTGTGAAAAAACATATTTGAATTTTGCATGTTTTATTTACTTTCTTGATTACTTTTTTTTTTTTCCTTTATTTTATGACTACAATCTAGTTTTGGGTATCGTGGTACATATTTGAATTGTTTTATTGGTTGCCCATTTCTACACTACAAGTAATCATGTTGGTATGGGTCCTAATAATGGTTTGGACTTGTCTGCTGCATTATTGATTCAATCATTAATATCAACTAATGTCCACATAAATCATGGATATGATTTTTCATTACTCTTGTTCATTCTTATCCTATACTATTGCGGGTAAGTTACCCGTGTGATGCACGAGATAATTTTATTAAAGTAAGCATTTACATTTAGATGATTCAGAAAACGTAAAACGCATGTATTGAAATAAAACAAAATTTGTGTATGTGTGCACATTCAATTTCAAATTTGTATATAGAGGATTAAACAAAACCCAAATTTTTAGGATGTTCCAATCCGATTACTTCAAATTAATATTATTTGACTCTGTTTTATGTTTAAAAACATCCAAACTAAAGAAAGTCGTAGCCAAATGATAAGGAATTTGTAAATTTTAATTTTCAATTTTAAATAGATTTCTATGCAATCTGTTTTTTTCAATAAACATGTTCTGTTGCAATTAAGTAAAGACTAGTACGAATCCCGTGCGATGCACGGGTAGGAGATATTCATTAATATTTATAAATTAAAAATACTCATTAAATAATATTTATAAATTAAAAATATTGAATCATTATGTAACACAATTTATCTATAGGTAAGAGACAATCGTTAATATTTACAAATTAAAACTATTTATTAAATAATATTTATAAATTAAAAATATAAAATTCATATGTAATACAATTTATTTATATTAAATTATTGAAATTTTTTAATGAAAGTTAAATTTTTTAAAATTACATAAAACATGTTTATTTAAAATTAGTACATTAACCCATACGGTGCACACATAACTGATAATAAAATGCATTATATTCATTTTAAGAAAAGTGTCATTTTAAAATTTTTATTTTGAAATTCAATTTGACTACTACATGATTCCTCAAAGTAAATATTTTGATAAACATTTGTAATATATTTAAAAATCTACATGAATAATAAGTATAATTATAAAATTTATATTGTTTCATTAGTTTTTTTTTTTTTTTT